AGTATTTTATATGGCACAACTGTCAAATTTACCAATAATGGTTAAATAAAATAAAATTGCCAATACTCAAAAGTCTTGACACATACTTAACCACTGCTATCTCCCTCAAATATTCTTTGGAAATGGTTACAGAGCAAAACTGGTAAAATTTAAATGTCTGAAACATTATATTAATCAATGATTTTATTCCCTCAAATAATAGGGGAAATGAACATATAAAAGTAAGTGCAACACTAAGAGTGGAATGTCATTATAAAAATACATAACTTATATTTCACATCAAATTAATTTCTTCCCATAATTTTTAACCTTGAAAACTACATTACCCACACTGAAATTCATACATGGCAGTACTTTTGTGTTTCAGCATAAAATTAATCTTATGGATTGCACACCAAATATCACAATGATGGCCAACCATCATGAAAATGTTACAACTATCGGCTTACTTAACCTTTATCTGCTGAATGGAATAACATTTTCTCAAATGTGAGATGTAATTAACATTTAAAGTCCGCCTTAGCACGTATTTTTCTGCCGTTACAGCAAACTATCAATGCTAAGAGTTGTGAATAAATGTAAATCTATACAACATGCACGAAGCACGGATGAACTATTCCCATATTTGAGTGAACACAACGCAAGTTAAATGTAAATTTAAGAGAAACTGAGAATTCTAATTGGATTCAGTTTTGTTTTCAAAAGTGATCATCTCTACCTTTGTAATCTTCTTGGGATCTGGTGTTCCTGTCTCCAGGATCTCAACTTTCTGATAGACATTAGGGGAGTTCAACCACCGTGTGCGATCGTGCGTCTTGCGTCCATCAATGTATCTTTTCCACTGTCTATAACAATAAAAATACAGGAACTTCTCAAATATTTTCAAAATACAATTCAGCCAGCCATTTACCAAAATACTTGTGCCCTTTAAATGATAAATCTTTTATGTTTTCAGAATATTTAAATGTATTAACACTTTCTTGAACATGTCAATCATTTTGTATGAATGAATGCTGGGGTTATACTCTCTACACATTCACATAACACACTGCTACAAACTCAATGATCCGCACAATAGAGTCCCACTTACCCATGCTTGTACAGCTCCTCCTCTTCTAGTAAGTAACCAAGTGAGGAAACAGCTGGTGGGACCTCAATATCATTTCGAGGACGTGGAAGTTCACCCTTAACTAATGGATGTCTATAGATGTAGCCTGTGCGGAAACCCTGGAATAAGCAACAGTACTTCTCACATTCAAGATATCTCAAGATTAATTAAAAGATCTGTAACAATCTACATTACGAGTATGTCAGAACATAAAATAAAAATCACATCATGGACGTAGTCGCTACGAAGATAAGCAATCATATTCAGTATCATGGAAAAGGAAAAATGTCCAATCCTGATGCAACTACTTTCCCATTTTATGTACTGTTAGTTCAGAGGTACATTTACGTTGCTCCTTGCAAATAACCCTTTCTGTGCTGTATTTTGTTTTAAAAATAATTTACTGCGACTTGACAGAAGGTGAGACATATTTTCTTAACTGATATTAACACCAAATCCAGGCTACCAGGACCAGCACTTCTCAGTAAGATATCTTATACATTGCGGAATGGAAAATAATAAACAACACTGAGCGAAGAAAAGGCATGGTATGTTTTAATAACAGTGGTAAAAGGCTGGTGATTGTGCTTACAGCATTGTCAAGCATTCTCATTAGAGCCTCAAACTCCACACCACCCACGCGCCACTGCTTTTCCTTCTTAGTAGCTGTGGCAGGACCATCAGTGGTATCCTGCAGCTGCTTTGGTATGGCATCAGGGTGACGACGTGCCGCATCATACACTTGTTTTCGTGTCTCGTCAGATATCAGTACCAGGTTCTCGACACCCAGTGGCATCAGCTTCATCTGAAGAGAAAGAAAAATACTGAAGTACAAAACTGAAGAAACACTTGTAAGCAGTTTGTTTTTTACTTCTTAGTTTATTTAGCAGCAGTTCTTAAACTGCACAGGTTGTAAAGTGTTAAATGGAAGGACAATCACGAATGATGAAAGGAAGCAGTCATGGTCTGTGTGAAAATTAATACCATAGCACTTACCTAAAGCAAATTTTAAGAAAACACAAAATCAGCTTCCAAGCTGATAATCAAACCCAGGATCTAACAAACACAAATCAGGAGTGCTAAGCACTCGATACGAAGTTCATAACCTGTTGCAATATTTCCAAACTTATCACTACATATTTTAGGCTACCATATTGAAGGAGGCACTGGCTAAACTTTAAGAACTGTATGCCCAAGAAGAAGAAGAATCACTATATATTTAGGATGTCTATGCAACAAGTGGAAATACATGCCCCAATCTAGACATAAATCAAAATCCCAGTGTGCAGGCAGCCTAAGACCACACACGTTCACACTGCACGGTTACTGAGAGTTAAATACTCGTCGATGGAGAACAGGAAAGACAAAGCAAACTTTTTAACAAAAATTAAGATCCTTTAGGTATTATATCTAATTACTTCAATTAAAATAAACATTTCAGCATCAAGAGCACCTGATATTTAGAACTGCTGCAAAGTGTAATTTGGGGAGTAAAACAACATGGATGTCACAAAGTGCAACAAACTCTTTGCAGAAGCAGTGAACTGAAACCAAAGGCATCAAACTTTCCTCAGAATCTCACCAAGTTAAAACAGTTAAAAATAAATTATTTTAATTTCCTCTCATGTAAGTGTGACAATTCCTTACCTGAGTTTCACAAGCCAGCACAGTGTTGTAAACATTGAAAAATGCTTCTTCTATTGTTTCACCACAGCAAACTGCACCATGATTTGCGAGGAACATAACCTGAAGAAAGTAATATGTTAATACACACATAATGAAATTTTACTACAATAAAATACATATTCAGAGAATGTGGTGGTGGTGCAATTAATGTATCACTGATAAGAGAGAACATCTATTTTAATGCAATATAATTATCTTTAATTTAGCAGTTAATATTTTCATATATGCTGATAAAGCATTACACTAAAAGGAAATTGTTACAATTAATAACATGCCTCTTAGTAAAAGCAAATGATACTGTCAAAACATTACCTATGTATGGTTAATTCAATCTCATGTTTGTAGATTATATCGCACTCACCAAAGAAACAACAAAAAATAAATACAGCCAGAGTAACAAACATAATAGTCAACATCTTGACGATCAGTCTGCATATTTTTATTTGAATAAAGGTTCTAAACTTTAAACAATTTCTTTCTTAACTTACTTTGTTCAAGGGTCCTAAATTCCGTGCAATCTTTTCTCGTTCTTCAGGTTCAAACAGCCCTCCGAGATATGGATGCTGACTCACTTCTCCAATAACAATTGATTCTTGGCACAGAGGCAACAGCCCACACTTGAGAGATGACACCTGTAAAAAATAATTACAAATATGCAACAGTTCTATAATTAAAATTTAAACAATCACAATAATACACCAAAGCATTGAGAAAACATGTCTAATACAGTAAAACCTCTCTAAGTTGGACACTTGGTGTTCCACGAAAACGTGTCCAAGATAGAGGGAGAGAGAGAAATCATATTGTGGTCTAATGACAATATAATCTATTTACTTACATACGCTAACTACTGTAGGCTTACTTGAATTAAGAATTAATGACAATGGTATTAATAATAATAATCTTTTGAAGCCCACTCCCATGCATTGCACATTACACCCCAGCCTCAATAACATTTTCTAAAGTTAATTCCACCAATTTTCGCTTCCCCATCGCAAAAAGAAAAATTCCATTTCTGTTAACACAGTCTGAACTCAAATGCAAGCGGAGTTAAAACTGTGTCTTCTGCAAAACTGTAGTCCAGTTAAGGGTTCAGCAAAAGAATAGTTAAACACTTGCAATGCATTCCAATGATGGGTTCAATGTCCATAAGATAATCCTCTAGAGAGGAGGCATTCATCAGTTAGAAATTCAAAATAACAAAATATGTAACTGAAAAAGTTTCCCTGAAAAGCAGCGAAGTTAAGTGCATGAACCTGTCCAACTTACAACTAAAGGGGTGTTCAAGTTCCAGGATAAAGAGTTGTCCGAGATATAGGGTATTGTGGACACGTATCATTATAGGATATTCTCCGGTTCCAATTAAAAGTGTCCAATATAAGGGGGTGTCCAGGATATAGAGGTGCCCAACTTGAGGGGCTTTACTGTACATCCTATTCAAACAATGTCTACCATATTTAAAAAGTTCTCATTAACACATGAATGTTTCTGAGGCTGAATTTGGAATCTTACAGTCTACCATACTATTATTTTATTATTTCTCTTGTAAAATTTAACATGAACAACAGAAATGTTCTATAACATTTTGGAACCTCACGCACAGCCAGAGCTCCAAAAATACTATTCAAATCTACTAGACACTTAACAAGATACACCACAGTGAATGTGCTTCACAACAAACTATTTGTCAAATGTGGCATCATCAGAAAAATACAATTAATAAAAAGAAAACACCACTTACAGCAAGTACCGAGGGTGTATGAATATGAATGATGCATCTGATGTCTGGGCGAGCAGCGTGTATCGATGAGTGCAGCATGAAGCCAGCTACATTGATACCAAAGTTGGTAGTACCTTGTTCCACCACCGAGCCTTGCATATCTATCTTCACAAGACTGGATGCAGTGATTTCATGATACAATATACCAAACGGGTTCACAAGAAAGTGTTCTTGGTCTTGATTTAACCTTGCCTGCAACAAAAACAGAACATCTATCTGTGACAAAGGCCAATTCATTACAAGAATACTTCCGAAATACTGTGCGTATCAAATATACCTCAGACAACAGATAAAGTTCAGCTTAGATATTAAAAAAGGGACACGTGAACAAATTTATGTATTTAAATATGCCAGCTGTTTAGCTACCCTGATTCAGTAGTCATACTTACAGTAGCAATGCACTCTCGTGTTGGGTTATCAATTTATATAAATTTAAGTACAAGCTGCAAGACTCTTTTAAAACAAAGCAGACTGTTGTGCCAACAAATCACACGAGTTCAATATATGAGTAAAGTGAGGTTAAAACATTCTCATATTTGGATTGCAGACTTCTGTGTTAGAGCACCAAGTAATGTCATACATGGTCACCATACTTTTCGAAGAACCAATTACCTCATCCTCACGATAAAAGGTCACCATACTTTTCGAAGAACCAATTATCTCATCCTCACTTTGAAGATGAAGGCAAACATTTTCTGTGTTCAAGACCATATGGCATTGCGGCCAAGAGGACCACAATTCAAATCCAGTGCGATAAAAAAATCAGATCGCATATAAATTCTACTATTTATATCAACTGACAAGATGGAACCCTCCTGCACGTCTACAGCTACTCACTTACCGATATTTGGTTATAAATGCCCTGAGTCCAACCATACAGATCCATCAACCTGTAGACTGCTGCCAACTTACATCGAAGTATCTTTTCTCCTTTAGCATATCCCATACTTTCAACACCTCGAATATCATTGATGGGAACAACACAATTTGAACCTGGGAAATAATAATTAGGGATCAGATACAAAATAGTTTAAATTTACAATTCAACTGAGCAGAATCCTCCTTGAAGAAGCTGGCATTCATACGATTAAATGTACCTTACAGTCTACAATATAACATAATAACAGAAGGGTAATTATAGATCAACAGCTGTTGAATAATAACATTGTTCTTGGACTGCTATGACTAAAAAAATTGGTTTTTGTAATCACATTTTTCTTTCTAATGCAATTTAAGACATAAATCAAGAAGAAACAGGTGGCACTTGAAAGTTCACGTGCACATAAATGACTGGTCTTGTACTATTTTCTACTTACAAAACTGTCGGGTTCGAAAGAAAGTATTTTATGATTCCAAATTCATCTGAATTGTTATGAAATATCTAAATACGATATATGATAAATTATGTTAAAGAACGATGCAAGTATACTTCTCTCGTAAGTCTCTGCTTTACTTAACATAAACCATTAGTATGTATAATTACTTACCCTATATAAATCATTAACATGCAAAATTATCTAAACTTTCATAACACCACCTCCGTCTACAGGCAAATAGAATAAGATAATGAGAAACGCAGAAAAAATACAAACAAAACTCTTCTTCCAGTTGCATGTGCCACATATAATCATAATATACAAACACAAGAGAGAATACTCACTTTTGAACATGTGTCCAGAGTGGAGGCGGCCACCCTGGACGCCCATCATGTCTGAGATCTGCTGTAACAGCCCTGCTGGACCACCACCATCCTTCATCTGCACCTCGATGATCCGCTCCAACTCCTCGCGGAATAGCCTACTGTTCATTACCATCTCCACTCGCTTCCGACGTTCCATTTCTCGCATGTCCTACAATATGGCGCACACAACATAAGATGTGAAACAATCCAGACTTATCAACGGTCATGATTATAGCAGACAGGAGACTTTAATGTATAATCAGTGCCATAAATAGGATAAACCTTCCCATCACCACCTCATTTTTGAAAGTTGATGCTTTCCAAGAGTTTCTCTAAGCAATTTTTCCTATCCAAGCTGCACGCCCAACCTCAAATTAGCAATACCATCAATACTAGGCGAGAGCTTACAAACCAAAGTCCCTTTTATAAAATACCACCCGTTCCAATTTACTTCAGTCCACTTCAAAACAAAAATTAGAAAGGCAATGTTAAGATTTATTTGAAGAATTATTAACAAAGTGGTCTTCTTCAAGTAACTCTGTAAAGCTCACTCAGATATGGGGTAATTACGAAACCTGCCAGACCTTCCCAGAACAAGGAATATATAAGAAATAATCCTGTATGTAGAGATTACCTGGTAACACTAAAACAGTGGTCCCCAACCTTTTTGTGCCTACGGGCACATTTGAGAGTTTATGAGATCGCGGCGGGCACCAACCAATTAACAAAGCCAAATTATCTTTTCTCTGGACAAATAAGAAATGGACACCAAATAATACACAAAACAACACGACGTTTAATGATACAGGAAACTATGCTACCAAACACACATAGTTTTATAAGTACAATTATTATTACTCAAGTGGGAAGTTAGTGCGATGCATTTCATCAGCCAGTTTTTCAAATTTGGGAGTGTATGATGATGTTGCTGCTCGCAAACAATCGACAAGATGGGCATTATGAAGTAGAGATCTGTGCTTTGATTTTATAATGTTCATGGTTGAACGGCCTTCATTAATAAGTATAACAACCTCTTTCCGTAACAACGCGGGCACCCAAGAAAAGCCTTGGCGGGCGCCACATTGGGGACCACTGCACTACGACATTTACAGGACTATAAAGTAACCATTAGTGCTACACTTTGGATCTGCCCTTATAAACGCAATTTTACAATAATATGATGACTACTTCAGCAAGAAACGAGACCCTGCAGATAAAAATGCAAAGTACGTCTCCTGTACATTGGGGTCTTACAAAAATGCGTGCATTCTTAGGGAAAGTAAGAATGAACTAAAACTTACAGCATCAATGTCTGCGGGTCGTAACTTGTTTTTGTCTTCCTCATCGGTATCAATGCCATTTGTCTGTGGCTCAGCTGGCGGAGACTGCGCTGTCTGACTTGTGTCTGCCATCCTGACCGCTCACTTCTTTCAATCGTTCAGTCTGCAACAAATCATGAAACAGTTTCATTACTAAATGTTCCTGATTTTCTGGCCAAGTTCTAGTTCTTGAAGAGATAACGGTGGTGAATGGTAAGATAAATTGTGATTTTTTTTGCCCAAATTGAGACATTATCTTGTTTTATCAGACAGCAATATAAGACAATCTTTCAAAGCATTTTCCTTCTCTCTTTTTCCCTCCCCTGAGCCTAGCAATTTAGCCAGTCAAATGGCTACAAGACAGGTTGTCTAGCCCAATCATTTTAGACCTGTTGGCCATGAAGACGCCCTGAGCAGGTTGCAAACTTATACTGCATTTTGTAACATGCGAGGAACAAAAATATTATATTTAACTCATGTGGGATATCACAGCAATGCGTATGTAGATTGCCGTCTTCTGGGATATTGTATTTAATAGTTTGGTGAATACTGACTTGACATTTCAGAGGAGCTTACTGCCTCCACTGTCAGGGTGATATAAGTAATTTCACAATGAATGCTATGAATGACAGGGATTATTTTTTTGGTCTTATGAATATGCAACTCTGCTTGTAAAGTGACCATACAGGCAGAATCAGCTTCTGAAGCACAAAATTTTGGTTGAAGCTCTGAATGACGTCACCACTACAGCTTTAAACCGTAACAGAAATTGGGTTCGAGACGCTATGCCAAGCTGTGGCAATTCGATTTCAAAAATGACATCAAAGACGTTGTAAAAGCCCTCCAAAAACACAACATTAAAATAAACAACATGCTGGTTGAATATCGAGGGGTGTTTAAACAGGGTAGGTTATCAAGTGTCCCACACTCACCCTCAGAAAAGCAAGCACATAGGCATATGATTTTTCTTCTATTCCTCTCATCAACGTATTTGTCGTCATACACCCATGTCCAGCTCGAATGGACCCTTGTTCCCAACATGACATAAGAGGCCACGCCTATTTAATTCCCTAATTGGTGGTTGTGCAAATGCCGTTGTCGTGTCAGCTATGAATATTCCGGTCTTAACGTCGGACAGGTCATAAGATACGACCCCTGATGATTCAGTTTGAGATCGTACGATGACGTAACTGTGTGGCGTCTCCTAGGCCTATGATGGAGCGGATTATTTCATGTGACGTGTATTTTCTGATGGCCAAGAGAGAAAAATCTGCGAAATGCTTATGACTCAGAGATAACTCCTGCACTTCAAACTTCGGGTTACTTGAAAACGTTACAATTTCAGAATCCATTATACTACAAGCATATTTATCTACTTTCTCCAGTTCGTGGCAACGTTTTACACGCACTGACAGCAAAGAAAATGTTTACTGGGTGAGATATCATGTTCTCAAGGCGACAAGTATGAAGATTGTCTTATGGGATGTTGTGCCATGTCGTCTGGTAGATACTAATAGACGTTTCAGAGTAGCTTAAAGGTACAATTTGGCTGCACGCGACAGAGACAAGCGACAGAGTTACGAGACCGAGACTGGTCGCTTCCTGTCTGCTCTCTGTACAATCGTATGAAGTACAATTACGAGCGCGAGACAAAGACAGGCGACAGAGACAAAGCACAGGAGACCGCTCTCGGACCAGTAGTGTCTCGCGACGGGCTCAGGCAGCACGTGTGTTGTTGAGTAAAATAATGGCAGAAATTAAATTTACTGGTGACCAAGATGAGCAATTGGTAGAATTAGTAGCAG